CACTCCTACAGAACCTTACAGAGTTGTTGAAAAGTTCTATGGTTTGAATTGATTTGCTGCTGCTGTGCTATCGTCGTGGATATGGAACTAATTAGTAAGCAAACTTTCGGATGAAGGAGTTTAATGAAAATTGGGAAAATGGTAACTGGGACGAATCAATTTCAAAGCGTCAGTAATCGAATTTCTACCAAACGCATCAGCTTAACGTGTCCTTCTCTTTTGTTTCCAAAATCTTAAGCTGTAAAACCAAAATCATTTGCTTCCCCGACGCGCAAATTAACAAACGAGAAGAACTGCCTCTTTCTGCTGTGCCGACTTGATACCTACCTTTTTTGTTTACGAGGACATATTCATGTGTGTGTGCGTGAGTGTGTTATGGTTTATATGGATTATATTCAACGAGTCAATTCGGTCAAAAATCTGAGACCAACTAATAGAAAAAAATGGGAGGTAGTTAGGAATTGCCTCCAAGAAATAAGTTCCATTCCCACGCTAGGAGGGACTAGCAAGCTACCCGTGAGTGGACTCAGGCCACGCGTTCAAAGCTCAGCAAGCTATTTGCAGGCATGAAAATACTAATCACAGTAAAATATGCTGGTATCATTCCTGCGTTCCGAAAAAGCTCCTGATACGGCAGCGTTGGAAGGGAGGACTATGGACAGGCTGCTAAAATCTCAGGACCTTTCTAGGCTAACTAAACTGTTAAGGAGATCTGTACCTACAATGCACATAAATTTGCATATAAGTCCTCCGATAGAGGACATGATCATGCAGACAATAAGGATAAGAAGCGACGTCATCGGAGTGGACGAGACGAAACGAGAACTCGTCACCCATTCAACGTCGTTTATGACACTGAAGCACAACTGTTCCTAGGAACAAGCGACGGTAAAAGATTCGGCTTCATCGGTGTTCTCGTCAACATGAGTTTGTATATGAACATCAATTTATTTGAACAACTGACAAACCCAACCGGACTTTTATAACTGAAGAAATGTGGATCAATTCCGGCTTTGACAATCTTCGTCGTTTACGCGCCGACATCAAACTATGACGAAGAAGAAGTCGAAACGTTCTATATAGACTTGGAAAAGTTCAGCAGAAAAGACCACACATTCTTCGAGGTCATCATTGGAGATTTCAACGCCGAGAATGTACCAAGAAGAACGTCTGAAAAGCGTCACATTGGGACCCAAGGATTGGAATAGAACGGGCAGGGTGAGCGACTTTCTGAGTTTATCATAACGAGCTAGACCATCCATGGTAACTCGCAATTCTAGAATCCCCACTCTCCATGATAGAGTTGGTTCTCACAGTGCAACATACCATAGCATTAAAGAAAATATAATAAATCGAAGTTTTCGTCTACTCGATTTCACTGTTGAACCAGAACTCTATACAGGATGGATCGGAGTTAGCGCATAATTTCATTTCTTGTAGAAACGACAGAAGGCCTAACTTCAAATGGGAAGAAGCCGTTCTTGGGAATATCGACTAGGAATACGATCGCCTCGCTCGGCATCTTTACATTGGAGCTATGAAAGCTGAAAGTTTGAAAGTCACCAGGAGACGTCTGTCCCCAGAAACATTCGAGCCCCTACGGCAGCGTGGAATCGTGCGAGCTGCAGGCAACCGTCAGCTAACGTCCGAAATGCAATAAAATGCAGACAGGCGATAAAAGTAGGTATAAAAAAAAAGGCAGCAGTTATGGTCGAAGCTGCAAAAGCTGGGAGAAGCATTAGCGAACCCTAGCGATACTTCGCCAATTACAAGACCAAGATGATTGCACTACGGCGCCCAGACGGAACAGTTACAGCAATGGAGAAAATCAATCACGAATACTACTAGTCGGGTTCCTACTCTATGGAAGACCAGCAAGACCATGTTATTGTTCAAGAAGGGTGATGTCCACAACACTGGCAGCTATCGTCCAATCTACGGGCTACTCGTCGTCTACGAGCTGTTCACTCGAGTGTGCAAGCGGGATTTCAAAAAGGATTCAGTACAATGAACCACATCCACACGATAACAAGGCTCAGTGAAGTATCGTGAGAGTACACGAGGCAACACTAGCTCATGTTTATTGATTTAAAGAAAGCTTTTGACTCAGCCGAGATAGAAGTAGTCATAAAAGCCCTGGACAGCCAGGACTGAGTCCCTACTCAGTATATATAAATTCTTCGTGAGCTGCGTAGAGACTTCACAACCAAGATGTGCCAAAAATATTTACCGGCATCCACATGAACAAAATGAGAGTGAAAATCGTGCAAATGAAAAACGGGCAATTACACCATCTTCGCTATGTTGATGACATCGTTTTTATAACATGAAACATTAGCTGAGTGGAACGAATCAGCGAAAAAGGGAGAACATCCTAGAACAAAGAAAGAACAAAAAAAGGAAGAACAACCTTTTCGATTCCACTATTCTTCTTGCCTTAATGCATGCGTCAGAAACCTCGTCGCTACGTAAACATGATGAAATATCGCTCAGCGTTATTGGACACGCAGTCGAAAGGACGACGCTAGGGGTATCCAGTGTCACACAAGTAAGAGAATGGATCAGAAGCTCCGACCTGCATCAACGATCGAAAATCAAAGATGCTGTTCTCTACGCCAAACAGTCGAACATAAGGTGGGCCGGAAACGCAATGCGTATGAATAACAACCGATGGACAGGAGCCGCTAGAGACTGGATTCCTCTGGATATTATATGTAGTGTAATGATCAGAGTTGTTCACGAAGACCCTAGAAGAAAAGCTTAATGGCCAATGAGTTCCTAGAGCGAGCAGAACACACTGGGCTACTCTTACATACGACAGAAACAAATAGAAGGTTCGTTGGCTTCCGTTAGAGTCATTTGACCATCATCGTAACGACTGGTGAAACAGGTGGTTCAGTAAATGCTTTTTTCTCACAATCAGTAAAGTATATTTCATACTTTTTGATCGCATCGAGACCGGCGTTCACTCAAATGCTAGCGGTTTTCCTCTCATGAACTACGAAAGTTAAATCACATGCTGTGCAGTCATTCTGTTTACGTGTGTTCACATATCGCGCTGACCCAAGCACATTTTCCATTCGTTTCGATGTGATGCTACGGCTATCTATGAAAGAGATCGGGTTTGTGTGATTGGTCAAGTGCTGCTTAAGGATTCGTTATCTCCTTTCTTCTTTGACATTCTGAAAGATAGCTGAAGTCAGTTTCCTCTAGTAACCTGAAATTGCTTTGCAGAGGCCTTTTTAAGTGGTCACCACAGCCAATCGCCCAACACTGTCGCCTTTAGAAAAATTCGCTGCTTTGCGCGTGAGGCTCTTCCACTACAACAACTATTTCTATGATGACAACGAATCCTGACATTAGCCGACCGACTGCTTGATGACGTTGTAATAAATCGAATAATCCTCTATGATGTGTGTGATGTGTAAGCAAAATTATCCAGTATTTAACATCATTTGCTTTCCGGATCAGGAAAAAAATTCTTTCTTAGAGTCGAACATGACTATTATGGGGCGATAAGCTTTTAAAATAACCAAAATTATGCAGTAAACTGAAGAGATAAATACGGAAAAGAAAAATCGATCACTAGGAATACAAAATGTTGCTTTTTTGTATTGGGTACTAGCCTGGATAAGAATTCCGCTTGCAATCAAGTTGACCTCTCATGGTTCTAATTCTTAACTAAGTTATGGTTTAAAAAAATGTTGGTTAAAAACAATTCTAATCACCTTGTAGCATTGACAAAGGATTTCCTCCAGCAGCTTTTGGAACGATAAGGTTTACAAAGCGAGATTTATTCGACTTGCATTCTTCACACTGACGACTTAAAAGTGCTAAATATTTGTGAATATAACAGCAATTGCTTTATTCTTGAGATGCGTTCCATCCATGAAAAAAAATTCAAGCTGCTTTTTGTTGTCAAAGGATCACCTGACTACCTACACCTCACCCGTAAAGCGGTATGTCATTTTTTGTAACATATAGTTTTTATTTGCAGGAAGCGTAACTCGCAGATCTATTCTATTTTAGTTTCTTAATTTAATTCCCTTGATGATTTCGCTATGCTTTGCTTAGGAGAGCTATGAAGAGATTGGAAGGCTTCGTTAAGCGTTAATCCTCAGCTCTGCATGCTTTACTTCGACTGCATAATTCTTATGATTAATGTCTATATTTTTCATTGTTGTATTAAGAATCGAAAACTGCGCAGTCCAGAATTGTTCCTAGTAGAAGAAAAACAAGCAGAAAAGCGCAGTGCCACATTAGGCTGCCTAGGCTTTAATAGTTGTAGCATAAATAGCTAGATGGCTTTTTTACTGAGCTCTTAAACGAAATCCATGCAAAAGGTTGTTGGGTACGTCAGTTCGCATTATCGGTTAAAGCTGCGGTAAACGATGGCCATACCAAATATGAAAGCCGAACAATTTAGAACGAGCTGAAATCGTCTTTAACCGATGAACAACGAAAAGTGGAGGAAGCAATTGAGAAAGAATTTCACGTACGTTGTCTGTGTTTTGTTCTAGTTTCTTTTTCCATGCGAATAAATCACTTAAGCAACGAGATTTCAGGAAAAAGCTAACGAACTGGGAATTCACGAGACTATTCAGCTCATAGCTCAACCAAACTAACATCATCGACTGTATTTCTCAACTTCCCATTCACTTTTGTCTGCACTCAGAGCACTTCATTTAAACAGACCCTCGACTGGGTGGAATATTTGGAGAGAAATCACAGATATCTTCTGATAAACCACGAAAATTCACATCACACGTAGTAACAGAGGATTACATGGATTAATTGAAAAATTATTTAGAGAAACAACGAAGTTAACAGCATGAACGTTGTTTCCTGAATGTTTTGTTTTCATAGAGTTGGAGCACTTTGTTTATGAAACAGTTGTTTGCAAAAATAAAGAGCATGCATAAACTGTACGCGTTTAGCCTGAATGGAGTCATCAGAGATATCTTTGTATGAAATTTGTAAGTAATATGCGTGAGAAATCATTAAAATGGATACATTCCTGTCGAAATTATAAGCATAAAGTGAGAGTCTGCATGGTTGCTTGAGTGAGAACGAGCTCGAACTCGTAGGTAATAGATGGATCCAGGTGGTAGCTCACGAGAAGACGTGTAGACAACTGCCTCACCGCGTCGCGAACGAATCGAGAACGGACCAGATTTCGTACTACCTGAAATCCACTTTGGAGTCCAAACAGTGAAATCCATTCGTTGAAATCCTTTCCGCACACGTATATATATATATATATATATATATATATATACATATACATATACATGTACTCACCAAAGAGCATTTATAAGTTTTGTAAAGGCAAAACTAATGTTCGGAAAGAATTTACATCACCTCATCAGTGCAATTGTTTCCGTGGGATTTTACAATGTAGTAAACATAGCGTTCGATTTTTAACAAGGGTCGTTAACGCGATGTAATGCCCTCCTTCATAATGCTACTACGTGTGGGAATTTTCCCACAGAAATTCACGAAATCGACTAAAACGGGAAAACAAAGGGGAACAACCATTTTCGGGGGGAATTTTATAATAAGAAGAAATAGCATCAAAATTCCACACTTACTGAATATCATTAGATTCTACGTTTTCACTCAGGGTAGAAATTTCGAAAAGTACCGCAAAGATTTCTAATGGTGGGTGGTAGTGGTCAAAGTTTACAATGTATCACCTCCATAGTCATCGTGTGCTTACAACATACGTGTGACATCACCGCCTAAATGAGCTAAACGACTCAAAAAAACTTTCGAGTGCCGTCGTTAAGAAGCACATTGGATTGAATCTTTCTGTAATCGCGTTATAGGGCCTAAGCAAAAATATAGCTGATAGTTACGATAACTGCTCACCGAGTTTTAGCCCGCTCTCCGTATCTGATATTGCGAATACTGTGTCCTCCAAAACACTACCTGACCGGTCGTAGACAGTCACTTTTCCGATTCCATTGTCTGCACGATGTTTACAAAATAATGTTAAACTGCAGCATAAACATTATATAGTAAGAAGGACCTGTACGATATCCTTTATGAAGTGAAATCTGCCGAATGTTAATTGGTTGAACCGAGCACGACTTGCATTTAGGAATGCAGTCGCTGAATAGAAAATATTTTTGTAAACAATCCAAGTGATACATTCCAGAATCCTCATGATGCTTACGTGTTCTGTGAAAGAGAATAGTTTTCAGGACATGGATTTGGGATGCAGTGGAAGTCTCCCAGCGTATTGAGACACATCTGACCGTTGGCGCATGATACAACATCGCATTCATTTATGTCTATAAACATCTAGGAAAGCTTACTACCTAAAACGTTTTACTCCCTGTATTTCAATACAGTTAAAAAGCTTATAAAAACTTAATTTGGTTTTAAAAGCCTTATAGAGTTTTCACAAAAATAGCAGCATGCAAGCGGTGACCATCTATCATCGAGTGACACTTTCTCGAAATTTTATAAAGTACAAAAGTAGATATCAAACAATAGCTAACGTTCGATTTTCGTTTATCTACGAGCGCTTATCTAGATGCTTTGTTGATACTCGCAATCTTTTTGGGGCAATTTAATCCTTTTCCTTTACCTTTCGAAGTCTCAGATACATTTCCACTGCCATATGACTAAGTTACCGACAACTGAATAATGCGGGACTCGGTAGGATTGCTTGACGCGGTAATGAACAAGTTCGCTTTCAACAACAGATAATAATCTATCCATTAGAAAAGTGAAAGAGACGGAAAATATAGAAGAACTCTGCTATATGTTAACAGTATAGCCAGTTTTTATAAAACATTCTTCTGGTTTTAACCTTCTTACAAACGAAGATCTCAAAACGTTGTCAATGAAATTCAAATCCTTACAAATTCGAACACAACAGCAAGGCAGTATAAGTTAATGTACTGTGCAGCGCCATCTGACCTACTTGGAAGAGATGGCTCTTGTTCAATTGCTTTTAAAGTTAAAACTTGATACTTACTTAATATTTGAACGGCCCGTCCTCACTGGTTGTGCGGGCACCAGCATAATCTCTATATTTCGGAGATCGCCTCGTTAAACTATTGTTATTCCCTAGAATCCCAAGGTCAGCCTAGCCAAAGTCTGCCCCAGGTATTCACCACCACGGGGAGTAGCAGCCCTTTGAATCAGAGGAAGATTTGCCGCCGTGCGACTAATTTGATAGCAGGACGGTGATGGATCCTGGTATTGGTTTACTCTAAGCTAAGCTTCCTGATGGAAACGCCTGACGCGTTCTCAGGTGGAACACGCTGTTAGGGGATGAATCATTACTGTACATCGCAGTCGGACAGCCGGGAACACCTCTCAGCCACGATGAGGCGGTAAACTGTTGGGAGCAACGATTAAAATACGAGCCCAAATAGTGACGGAAAGTTTCACCAGCTCCAGAACAAATTTTCATTTATGTTGAATAAGTGGACTTTTTTTCCAGGTAAAGGTCGGTGGATTCCTACATCTTGGTTTAAATTTGCAAAGAGCCAGATGTTCGCACTAGATGAATTGAAATCAGTGCTCAACGTCACAAACGTTTTGAAAGGGCCCAATCCCTGGAGATAAAGCTTTGTTGATTGGAGCGTCTTTAAGGAGAAAACATCTGTCTCCTTTCAATATGAAAAGGATGCCAAGTGAAGGGAAGCTTTCGCGATGCAGAGTGATAACCTTTAAGTCTCTTTAAATGTTCGTAGGCTGAAGTATGGCTTTCATAACTATAACTTCCATATAAGCGAACATATGGAGTCCTTCACTAGTGTGTTTTTTGTCCTATGCAGCATTTCCATTCTAAACTGCCGAAAAACATGGTGAACAGCTCTGATAGATAAACATAGCAAACTCCTCTCACTGCTGAGATCGTCTTTTGCCCGTGTCCGCCGGTTATAACCATCAATCGATTCACCGTCCCTGTTCATCCACAGTTGGCATTTTGCTCTTCTCCTCTTCCAACTTTTTACAAAGCGTTCACCTTGCATTTAAGTTAACGACCGATGGTCATAATAGAGTTATGCAGTTCGATTTTTTCACGAACTTGGAATTTTTCAAAAAATAATTTCGAATTTTGCGTTGGTCTAAATAAGAGCTATAAAACGTACCTCTCTGGTAAAGACCACATTACATCACAAACTTCTCCGATTTTAAAACCCAAAAAACTGCTGAAAGAATTTTAGCAATCGATTTAGGTGTCAGAAACATTCCCAGCATCTTTTCTATATGTTCAAAATACTTACAAACGCTTGGAAAAAGGAAAAGTTAGTATTCTGGGTATGTCTTATTTCGAAATCCTTCGAATCCCACAATATTGGTGATGCGAATGTGGTGAAGCATTGTGCTGCAAAAGATTTTGCCCCTACTTATTGACCAATGGCGATAGAAGATTAGTGGGCTTTTTTGTGGATTTCATTGACTCCCGACACTGCTTTCCACTAGCAATGGGCTTGCGTTAACGAGACGTGTAAAACAAATTTCATTGAGACGATCTTTGTATCACTTGAGCAATTTTTACACTTTCTTTCGGTTGAAATGATCCAGCGCTCCGAAACTGGTATTTTACTCACCTGACAAGCAGTAGTATTTTTCTGGTAAGCTTTCGAAAGTATTATCTAGGCATTCTTTAATTAATTTCTTCAAATGATTATAATTATGTAAATTAGCACATGTACCTTATCTATACCAGTTATGAGATAAAGTAAGCTGTATTTCAGATCTTTATGTCTTTTCTTGAGGTTAACTGGTGTCATTAGGAGAATTTCAAGGAATGTAGGCACTGTTGTACATTTCCTACAATGATTACTTGATGTAAACACAAATCTGTCTTAGGACAGCATTCCGTTTTCTCTAACAGTGAAAACGCAAAAGCGAAAAATAGGTCGCACTGCTAGTATCGAAAATGTCAGTTCCTCCATAACGATTGAGTGCCGTTGCTACATATCCTTCCTAATAATGATGTCTTCGAGAAGCGCCATAGAAGATGCTTCACCACCCGCTGGCTCTTCCAGACCACCGCACATTGTCTGATTCTCATCTTTTCGTTTACCTTCGAACGTTATCCATTTAATAGTATTCAGTTTAAGGAATAATGACGGACCTGCTTATTCAAAACACATTTCTTTCTACCGTCCTTATTAAGTTGTTCGAAAATTAATAACGGACATCAATCTATATTCGAAAGTGGCATATCTTATTTTGAAAAAAAATCCTTAGTCTGGGCTGATAACACAGTGGTTGTAATGCCAACCATCACAAGCGCGGTGCTCGTTCGCTCCCACCCCAGGCTCTCCAAGCGTCCCATCCTGCCGGGGTGGCGAAATTGGTAACGAAGTTGTCCAGGAAAGAATCACTCTCTGCAACCAAATTGGGAATGCTCTACCTCGGCTATTTCGAGACTCTGGTGAGAATTAAAAATACCAACATTCAAGATAAAATGAAAATCTTCAAACAGCAGCCCAAGCCACATGTAAGATTTGGAAGACCATAGTGGATGATGGATGCGAGGAAACGAAGTGAATTTGTGAAATTCTGAGATCTTCGCACTAGATATGAAGACGGGAGGTGTAAAAATAAAAATAAAAAAAAATACGGGTCCTCGTGATGGTACCAAAAAAGGATCGATGACCTCTCTAAACAGCGATTTTCTTTATTGTCGCTGAAGTTGCGCGGTATCCGTTTATCATGCTTCTATGACTGTCCATTTGTTTTCGGATTCTTCGAAACAGTTGAGATGCTTACAAAGAGTCTTTATTTTCTATGTTCTCTGTTCTCTCTATGTTTCTATGTTCTAGGAGCGTTGTGATATTCTCGTACCTAATAAAATTTTCAGTTCGGAGCTGTCAATAGCAGAAGGATACCGGCGACCTTCCGCATCTTCGACGTAGAATTCGTCACAACAAAATTTTCCCATGCCCATCATTGTTTTAAGCCGTATGCGGTCACTAAGCACAAGTGTGACATCAAAAAATCAGATTTGTCGAAATTATTGTTTTAAGTAATGAAGCTCCAACCTTTAAAAGTCGTCAGCAGCCCAAATTATAGCGCGCTTTAATCATGCTGCATGAGATGGGATTTGCAATGATATTTAGGAATTCAAAAAACCTATTGCTCAACGGCTTAGAAGAATAATAAAGGTACGAATCCGATATTACAAAAGCCTAAAAACTGTGTGGTTTTTGAGAAAGGTTGATCTAAAAGTGTAGAGAACATGAAGAATTAGCTATAATTGGGTGTCACACCGCTAAGCTATTATTTACTGCTTATCATTATCTTTAACGGCAGCGTATTATGTGAAATACAGCCACCATGACGCTAAGATATTTAGCAAGACTTGGAGCCGAGTTTAGATTTGAGCCCGCGCTTACCCTCTCCGAGAATCTGGCCTGGGGCCCTAATTTTACAAACATCTCAACATCACAGTGGTCGTACTTCACTTCACACTGCCGTGAGAAATAATTACGTACAGTAAATAAAATGTAGCATTGTAATATATAAATATTATCTACACTTTTAGATCCACCTTTCTCAAGAACCACACTTTACATAAAAAGAGCATAGTTTACAAAAGGATATAAATTTTAAATAATATGACGGAATAGGGAAAAAGAGCTAGGATAACAAACCAAAACATTTTCGATTGTTGTCCAACTCGTATCCTCGTGGACAAATGCAATTGTACGATCCGGAAATGTTTTCACATTGATATTCACATTGCTGTTCTTCATCGCATTCGTTAATGTCTTAAATGTTTGAAAGTTTAAGAAACATACTTTCTTTTATTTTCTATTCGCAAAGAGAGTGACTGTAATAAAGTTTTTCCAACGAGAACAAAAGAGGACATATGTAGAGAATCAGGGAAACATGTTTGAAAGCAAATACAACAATATGAGGAATGACTTAACCCTCGCAGTATGTGCCGTTCCAGTGAAATCCAGTTTGACAGCGTGCGTTTAAGCCAACTTCAGCGCCTAACATATCTTCGAATAGGAGTTGGTCGGCTGATGTAAAAAAAATATCAATTTTACAATAGCTCCTGTCTTCTTATTAGCTCATAAGAATTATGGAAAAAAGTGACCCCTTGAATGACCGGGCAGTACCGAACTGCTCCTGAGCACATAGCGACATTAAACAGTGAGAAAGCATCCTTTGTTAAGATAATTCATGCTTCCTTTATTTGTTTTCCAACTTTCTTTTTGAAAAGATGCGAGTACATTCCGCAGTCTGCTACCAAGGCACTTTTTATCACTACATGGTTAGTGTCAATGGAAAGAAAGTGAGCTGTCGCGGTTGCTGTCCTTCAGAGATTTTTCCCACTATTCGGTTCACGGATATGAACGCAGAGCTTCTCACTGTCGATTATGTGGACCTATCACAGGATGGGTTACCTGTCCTGCATTTGTATTGGATTCCCAAAAACATCCTCATGGAACGCAAAGGTAAATAAAAACCTATACAGCTTCTGGAACTATCAGCCGTTCACCTTCTACGACGAACACTTCAGCTTCATCAAATGCTTTGCCAACGCGAGTTGTTGCCATACAAGTATATCGCCCTTTGTCAAGCTGCTTAACCGTTGGGATAGATAGTGTATTGTTGGCCTAAGTGAAAAAGGCTCAAAAACAGATCTATTTATTGTAGTGCATAGAAGAACTGACTAGTTTAAAGATTATTGCTATAAACACACCAATATGTACATATTTCCATGAGGTCGCACCTCTTCATCGTTCTTGAACCAGGTAATTCTCGTAATGAGTGGAGACCCTTCCAGAATGCAGGATACATTTAGTGAATGGCCTAATATTACCATTATTTCCTTCGGTAGAACTGTGACTTTCGGAAGACCATCCATCACTTCGACCTGGTTTCAAAATTTTATACGTATTGCATGTTGACTTCATGAAACATAGAAAAGGAAAACATTTATAGAGATGCAAAAAAGGCTTTTAGCCTCAGATTGCCCACGCTGGAAGAAGGATTTTAGTCTAAGAAAAGTGAAATATTGTATAAAAAAGATGTAGTATTCAACTGAAACGTACCACTTGTGCAGTACTTGATTTTTTTCGGTTGTGAACTTTGCACGTGTATTGCTTGAAATCATTTCCCTAGAACAATTCCCATGAAAAATACATAGGATACAAACAAGTATAATAAGAATTAGTAACAGTAAGCGCTCGTAGTGCTCATCACTTCCATTCAGACGTATCGCACCGATCGTTCTTCATTTGCCAATCCAGAGAAACCATAAAATCAGTGGGTCCCAAAGTGAGATTGTTCAAAAGTTTTTCTTAGTTCAATCCTAGCTTTAAAATTTTCACTAATGACTTTGAAGGACGTATGGTCTTTTCTGTAGAACTTCTCCAAGTCCATGTTGAGCGCTTCGACTTCTTCTTCGTCATAGTTTCATGTCGACGCGTAAACAGCGGAGATTATCAAAGCCGATATTCATCCACTTCTTTCAACTCGTAGACTCCTGATTCAGATTGCTAGTTATTCGAGTGATCGACGTCCATAGACAAACTCGTGCTGACGAGAACGCCGACGCCGTCGACTCCTCTACTGTCGCATTTTCCGAGGAACAGTTCATCTGCGATGTCATAGACGGCGTTGAATAGGTGTAGTCGGTCATTACGATGATGTCGTACCTTATTCTTCTTGCTTGCATGAGCAAATCTTCTATCAAAGACTCGGATGCAAGTGTACGTGCATTGTAGGTACAAATCGTCACCATAGTTCTTTGAAATCCAGGCAGCTTTTATTGGCCCTGAAAATTTAGCAGCCTCTCCGTACTCGTCCTACCCAACGCTCGAAATTGGGGGGTCTTTCGGAGTCAGGAGAATGAGGCCTTTTTTTTTTACTGTGATTAGCATTTTTGACGCCCACTTATAGCTTGATGGGCTCTGAACGTGGGGGCTGGGTATACTCACGGGTTCACGGGTCGTAACTCCCACGATCGACTTTCTATTAACCTCGGCATTGATCAAGTAATTCATCGCATTCTTGCTGAGCAAACGCGAGGTGTTACTTTTATTCTTTATTCACGAACAAGCTAACGTTTCGGCGGATTTCGCCTTTCTCGGAGCCTGGAGAGGTCAAGTTGACAGCAATCTATTCGGCCAAACACCTCCATAACGAAACAAAGAAAACGCTGAACCAAGATTTCAATCACATTGAACACATCTTTGCACACTCACCGCTTTCTATGAGGCCTCCACTGAGCACGTCGCGTGAAAACTAGCTGCACAGATTTCACATGAAAGCGTAATGTGCCTCTCCCATCAGAATAACAGGCTTATATACTGCCTAATATCACGCGTGATAACGAGGCATTCTTCCCTGCGGTTCATTAGACAACAGGAGCCCAATAATGAAGTTCATGTTAAATTTCGGATGTTTACGAATGAAACTCTCAAAGTCCTTAATCACTATCGAAAGAGAGATACAGCTAGATAATCATAAAAGATACAGCTCAAATCTCACTGAAGTGCAAAAACGTGGTATGCAAGAGGTGCGAGAGCTGATAAGGTTGAAAAACATAAGACTATCCGTTAATGATAAAGGTGTAGAGTTTGTCGTAATTCCCCATCAGTTAGATGTGAAGATAACGAAAAAGCATCTTGAAGATGCTTCACTTTATCGCCCATCATCTGAAAAGGAATTTAAAAGTCAATACCGAAAATTGAACCACGAATGGGTCAAAATGGCAAGGGCTGCTGGCTTAAAACTATCAGTTATCTTTTAACTAAAAGTTAACGTACCAACATGCCCCGTCTTGTACTTCCTTATAAAAGCTCATAAGTTAGTATCCAGCGATGATCTCGTGCCTACCGATCCATCACTATTTAAGGTCAGACCCATCATTAGCTGCGAAGACGGGCCAACGGATAGGATAACATGGTTTTTAAGCCTAATATTTAACAAGTTGTTGAAACACATTCCAGCCCATCGCACGAATACCCAGATGTTTCTGGATCGTCTATGTACTGCACAGCCCAGCAGCGCGTACGTGATGGAGTCCTTCGACGTTACCGCCCTTTATACAAATGTGTCGAATGACTCCGCAATGCAAGCCATATTCGAACTCCTTATACAACACAAAGAAGCAATAAGCATGCATGGCTTTAAGATAGACCAGTTAATGGCACTCTTAAAAGAATGCTTGAGCTGCCCAATCTTCAGATGGTCCGAAAAGTACTAGGCTCAAATAAGAGGGTTGACAATGGGACAACGACTGGCACCAAGTCTCGCCATTGCGTTTATGTCTAAGGTGGAAGCACCGGTGACTGATCTCGGGCCGCTACTCTGATGTAGATATATAGATGACTGCTCTGTCCTTTGCTTAACACAAAAGGAAATAAACAAATGTTTCGAGTTGTTAAATGCACAGTCACAGTATATCGAGTTCACCCGAGGGAAGCCGAAAGATAAATGGCTTCCATTCTTGGACGTCCAAATTCACCCGTCGGAAAATGGCTACATTACAAAGTGGTACCGAAAGCCAAGTAGTGAAAGCATCTTGGTTGATTACTATCTTCTCATCCCTCTCACACCAAAAGAGCGCTTGTAAGAAACATGTTTCGAACAGCAACCAACGTGTGCACAGGAAGAGAGCAGGGAGAGGAGTCCCGGAACTTGGCGCGGCAAATAGCCATTTCTAATGGCTACGAAACTGTAGCTCGGGATGGGCGTAGGAAAAATCCTAGACCCCCAAACGACATCTCTGTCGATAGAAAGGCCCTGTTTATCCTACTCTTCTCTTCAAATAATGTAAGTGCAGCTATAAAACGTTGCTTAAGATGGGCGGATCTGGAAAATTCGGTAAACGTAGTTGAATTGCCACCGAATAAACTTAGGCGCCAGCTAGTTCGTAACCGTCTATATAACCATCTATGTGCAACGCAAAATTGCATAATTTGAACCAATGGTAGAGATGGTGATTGCTTGAGCTCGGGTATGGTTTATTTGATGTTTTGTAAAGCGTGCGGTGACGAATACATTGGCGAAACGGGCAGACCCCTCTGTGTTCGCATAAATAAACGCCTAGCCGGCAAACATATATCAAATACCCCACTAGGCACGCGTAGGATCCAGAGACATAACGGGAACGACTTTGAGGTACGTGTCACGATCCTCGCACAAGAATCGAGAACACGAGCGCAAAACTCTCGAGGCGTTCTAGTTTAATTCCAGAAATCCAAAAATGAACCGCAGAAAAGAATGCGTCATTATCACGTGTGATATTAGGCAGTACACAAGCCTGTTATTCTGATGGGAGGGCCATATTACGCTTCCATGTGAATTCTGTGCGGTTGACCTTCACGCGACATAGTCAGTGGAGGCCTCATAGAAAGCGGTAAGTGTACAAAGCTGTGTTCAATGTGATTGAAATCTTGGTTCAGCGTTCTCTCTGTTTGATTGTGGAGGTGTTTGGCCGAATAGATTGCTGTCAACTTAAACTATCCAGGCTCTGAGGAAGGCGAAATCCGCCGAAACGTCAGCTTATTCGTGTATAAAAAATAAAAGTAACACCTCTCGTTTGCTCAACAAGAATACGAACACACACGGGTAGCTTTCCAGGCTCTCCCAAAGTGGACATGGAACTTATTTGCTTGAGACGACTCCTAACCGCCTCCCATATACTTCCCAGTCACTTGATTGCGGGCTTTTGGCCGAATTGTTACGTAGAATGCAATCCGCATAAGTAAGAACGCACCCACACACGCATGCATGAGTACGCCTATCAAGTACAGAAAGTATGCGCCAAATTAGTGCAGCAAAAACAGGGAGTACCTCCCCTGGATGCATCTGCTTTTCAGGAAAGCAAAGGCCGCTTTTGGTTCGCGATTAACCCCCTATCCGCCACCTGCGGGCGTGCCACGTGGCTTCGCGACTAACCGGGTCGGGATTCCCCATACGAGGGAGATTTTTGCATAATGGACAATAAAATGTTTTAATCTTTCTAATCTGCTAAGCAGAGTCGGGAGGAAGGGGCATGCTTAGGCGACTATGCTGCTAGAGGTGTGCTACTCTAATATGAAATGGAGGAGTTACGCGTAAATTTTTTTGCGTGTGTGTGTATGGTGGCGTTTGTGTGCATATCTTTGCACTTGTGTGCGTGCTTGCGTGTGTGTGTGTGTGTGTGTGTCTGTTTTGCATATGTGCGTGGTTGTATATTGATTCCATCAGGCTTCTTTTCATGATTTACTAGAATATAGACGGTGATAGATTTGAGATAGGTTAAAGAAAACATCTAAGCTCTTAGCTTAATATAAAAGGTCATGTTGTCTCTGCTAAGTTGACGTTTTCAAAGTTCGTTTTTCTAATGAAACCACGTTAAAAATTTCAATCTATGCCAGATTCACTATAACACTGCAATCAATCGCTTACCATTGCAGTCTCGAAGTCCGTAATTACTAAACTGCCATTGTTCATAAAATGTAGGCTAGGAATGCTAGGATCCAGCGGACGTGACTTGTAATACCACATCACTTCATGATTATACAGTTTGTCGTTTTCTAGACACGTTATGACGGCCACTTTGCGTTTGGTACGATTTTTTGCTTCATTATCATCCATCGTATCAACCACGTCAAGAATTGCGGATGCCTGAATCCTTTGCTCTGTAATACTAGGTCTTATTAGTGCCTATCTTTGACTGCGATTTCTACGGGGAGCAACATCTAACTAGGTGTAAAAAAAATGGGTACAATAAAAATAAAATGCTTTTAAATTTACCCAGAGTACATTACAAACTCTCGAAAAAACAGGTGAAGAAAGGTACATTGGTGGGAAATCCATGAATGTCAACATTAAATACTAGTTTCAACTACGTCCTTTCCACTAGTTACCTTGATAACGCCAACGCTGTTTTTTGCATAGCAAGTGTATATTCCTGCAGATTCTTCGGTGACATTGACAACGAGAGTAGACAATGAAGCTTCAGGAGCTTTTGTTCGGATTGTGTCACTATTTTTCATCCAATGAATATATGGTACTGGAGTGCCGGTGGCACTTGAAATTAGAAAGCAATAATAAATTCAACATACTAATACTTAGTTAATAAACGTTACAAGGCTCACACCTGCAGCGGAATTCAAACTTTGAGTTAATTGTTGCTCGGCTATCCGTTGGAGTTACAAGGAATACTGGTGAAGTGGGTGGTTTCACATAAAATAATACGGAACTGACTTATATCAGCAAGAGAATAAAAAATAACATAAAAAACTAAACTCACAAGCCTTGGAGTTCGTGGACCAGGTATGCATTTGTAGACTGTTCCATTCGTTCCATTCAATGACCAGTCCTGATTTTAAGAAAGTGCTCTGATTTTGTAAAAAACACAGAAACTTCGAAGATAAATTTTTTAAGATGGAAAAAATTAAAACATGCAAAATAACTTAGAATTACACGTATTCTTTTTAGTGAAACCATTCGTTCCATTGGAACTCGTCTCCTAGATGCCTCGCAGTTCTACGATTAGGGCACTTAGAAAGCATAGTTAAACTAACGTAGCTAGCATACTTGGATACATGGATACTTGAATGGTCCGTCTTCACTGGTTGTGCGGGCCCGAGCATAATCTATATTTTGCCGGAGTTTTGCTGGTTTAGTCATTGTGGAGCCCTGGGATCCCGAGGTCAGCCTGGTAAAAAGTCTGCTCTTGGTCGTCACCATTACAGGCAGCCGTTGTAAATTAGACGGAGATTTGCCACCATGAAAATAGCTCGATGC